GATAGGGCTACATACTGCCTCACGTATTGTATATGGACACCATTGACTGCAGTGTATACAACACTGGTCACTTATTAACACGAGTAGCAATGAGGTATGCCAGATCCAGACATTGGCTATGATTGAGTCCACATAAAAACAGGTATTTGGCTTTTAAGTAATTTTCCGAAGTGATTTACATGCTCTATATCTGTCATTAACATGAAATTATCTGCTGCTAATGAAAGTCAAGTTCTGTCAAACCTACTCTGGCCAACGGCGCATTCAAGAGGCGACTCAGAGATACCCACAAAATATTGTACCCTTGGTCAGCACACAAACGTGCTCAATACACGCAATCTGCACGCAGACACACACTGAGCACACATGTATGGTCAACACACACAGCACGTGCATACATACACACCATTCACGGTCAGAAACCGCTTTGCACGGATGCATACGAGTTGAACCTGCGCTGTCAGCTTGTGCGACCCAGGTGAAGCACACGTGCCGTACGACTCTTCCCCCTTGTGCTGGGCTTGCCAGCCGACTATAGCAGCGCACTTTCTCCTACTAGCCACCACGTTTTTCTCGGCTAAGAGGATTCACGTGGCAAAGTCATCCTATCATTCGTGTTGAACCACCGCTCTTAACTAGAATTCCATTCTCTTTGGTTTTTTCGGTAAAATCACGTAGGTGAAAACAAAATAAAATTAAACAACTAGATTAAATCACGACGTTTCGGAAGCAACACAAGCATCCGTCATGAGGTGTGACTGTTCCAGCAAAATTACTGTAGCGTATGAATAGAGCTATTTAGAGACACGTGTTTATATAGGGTATTACCTTATTGTCGCGTCATCTATTAAGGAAGGTTTGCGTCTCGATAAGCTGTGACTTCTTGTCACGTTGTCTGTTAAAAACTCGAACAGATAGGTGGAATTCCTCCCCGTAGAGGAGATTAATTCTAGATTTGAAGTTTTCGTGACTGCAAGGATCCATACGTCGTGATTTAATTTAGTTGATTTATTTTATTTTGTTTTCACCTACGTGACTTTACCGAAAAAAAACAGAGTATAGATCCTTGCAGTCACAAAAACTTCAAATCTAGAATTCCATTTCACGAATTGATGCTGTATATATGTCAGTACAATGTTTGAGTAACTTCATTTGTAATAATCTGAGCTGACTTGTACTGCAGGGAGTTTATTATTTGGCATTTGTGTTTGTGCGGCGTTTTCAACGCCTCTCTGTTCTCATTTATGTTGACTTCATTGCTGTACTTTTTCTGTTGCTTTTGCCATTCTATTGAGCCAGGTCACTTGCAAATGAGACGAATTCTGGTCCTTCGAGTTCTCAACAACTGGTTAAACAAATAAACGTGGAAACTTGACATTGGTGCCTTTCCCCCCCAGCATTCACTGAATAAACAATCCGTAATTTTTTTCTTATTATTCACAAGTTTTGACAGATAAGAGGAGTTTAGCAGCAAATTAATCATTATCTGCATTGATCCTGAATTTTTATGTGGTGGATAATTGTAGTAAACAACACATAACCCACACAATAGGAACAACTGTTATACACATGGGCATAGATGGGAGGTGGCCACCTGGAAACATTCATGGATACAGTGTAGGATTGGAACTAGGATATGTTTCAGACTTCCAAAGACTTTCTTTGCATGGAAATGAAAAGGGGAGAGTCGTATTTGAAAGTATCGAGCAATTTGTGCTATTTTGTCATTTGAGATGTTTTTGCACAAGTGTACACTGCAGCGGTTTCACAAGAAACGTCGTTGACCACTTGTTCATTATTGCATTGGTCAGTACCACACGAAGCGTGGCAACGGTAATTAATGATCGCAATAGCAAATAACAGGTTACTGCATCTATAATCTCACAGATAACCACCAAGTGACTATGCGCCTTGTTTTGAACACTTTGTCAGGGATCCTTAACATCCACTGTGTGTGTGTTTTATGATGAATAGACCCGCAGCATTAACCAGGGCAGCCTGCCGGAATGTAACCACAAACCTCTGCAACAAGTGGCGAATGCGCTACCGCTTGGTCATGTATTTATGTTGAACTTCGTTTGCACCATACGTAGCCAAACATGATTATCGCAGGTGCCGGGCAAGGGAAACAAAGTAAACAAAAAAAAACAGTTCTAAAGAAACGTGTACCTCCTCGATATGCTTGGCGCAGGGGTAATCAATGCCATTGTCGGGGAGACAAAGCCAGCATTGACCCCACCACCACCCCCTTATGTCCCGTGCTGACCTTATTAGTTGCTCACTAACAACATTTGCTCCGTCCGATTGTCTGTACGACTCTAAGCATATCTTGATTTTGTTTTTGCACCCACATGATGGCACGCGTGCCAGAAAACCTTAACAAAACTTAGCGCACACACTTCATAGTGTATGACCCGCTGCAAGAGATGCTATATTGTGACTGAAAGCCAGATAATTGCAGAACATTTATCGGAACGTTTATCAAACGTAGTTTATACGGGTGCACATACATGCAGATTAGAATGCACTGCGCTGCTGCACACAGATGGGATAGTGATGCTTCAGATGATATTTCAGGACAAAGCCCATAGCACCTAGGACTCTTACTTTGCATGACAGCCCCTCCTACTTCATGTCTCCATGCTCTAGTGAGAAATTGGGCGGCGCTCATCTCTGTGGCCCTGAGCCAGTGATGGAAATTCCACATTCCCCTGCCAGTGGCCAATCTGTCCATAGGATGAGAGCTTTTGAATTCCAAACAAAGCAGTCGTGGTTTTATTGATGCTGAAAGGATGATAGACTAAGTCGGTCATGGTCGAGATTTTGACTTGCAACCAAGCTTTAAACAAGTTAACGGATTGCTTGTGATGGGTGACAGTGGTGTTAATTAATTTTGTGAAATTAACAATGGAATCATAACCAGAGCAGCAGTTTACTGAAATTGTGCAAAACCATTTTTTGTTTAGAGAGCGCGCTTCACTTAGTCTGAAATTTTCCTCGGCCTAGGGTTTCATAGTATTCCTCGTAGCACATGAAACCAAAGGTTACTCGGCTCTGAAGTTTCGTACCAAAGCGTGACCTTCAATTCCTCCCTCTGCCTAAAAATTATCTTCAGCTGGAAAAAATAAGCCCGTTCATGCACAGCAAAGTTTAAGCGAGATGATAACTGTGACCACCTTGTTAATTCTATGTAATTATCTGCCTCTGACTGTAATAGGTGGGAGGTTACCTGTTGACTAAGCCTTGAATAAGAGCACACTGCCGGGAACCCCATCAGTATTCTTTTAAAGTCACCTTTAAGTATGTGGTGTGCTTGTGGCACACATGCATGTACGCCAAGGTTTCATGTTTAGCCGTATAGACCGCAGGGACAAGCGCTATCCACGAGCACCTATTAAGGTGAGAGAGCAGGACACAAACAAGAGAGCGGTGTGGCCAAAATCTCTCCCGACTCCCCAGGCTAATCTTTAAACATCCATGGCCATGTATCACTGGTCACCAGGACCATAATGCAGTGCACAAATTACTGCACCGATGTGCACATTTGAATGTTAAATGTTTTGCAATTGTGTCTTCATTACTACAGCAACAAAAAAACCCCAAAAGTGACAGCACTCGAGAGTATAAAATACAAAGGAATAAATTCACCACGTACAGAATGCAGCTACTGAAGGAGATAGTGTGTTGTGGTGGGGGCGGGGAGCATGAGGGAGGTGCAGACAGAGATGGGAGATTGAGAGCGATAGCAGGTCCAGCCAGGACTCAAACGAAGCTTGAAACCGCACGGCGACCCAGGAGAGGTGTGGCAAGGATCTTGGCGATGGTTGCGCGCGCGCACCATCGCAACCCCAAGCAGCATGCGCATGTCGAGTCGACTGAGTCCACCATGTGCTCTGCCTTTCTGGCTTGAAAGCTTATTGGTAAATGCTATTTTCTATCTATTCACCAATGTATGTGTTTTATTTCATCACCATAGGTTGTCTTGGCCTACAGTTACTCTCGGGTTGATATCATGAGGAGTACCGCGTGATACCAAGTCAACATTGGTTGCTCTCTAGGGACTGGTCAACATCACAGGAAGATGGAATTTCCATTATTGACTGAGGGATCCGTCTCCTCCCACAATTGCTCATTTGAGCAGGGGGGCTCCGTGCCTTACTCTCTGGCTTGACTTGATATAAAAAAAATGTTTAGGATGACATGGCTTTCATTTGAAAAAAAATATTTTAATGGAAACTTTTGTATAATTTTTATTTTATTTTCACCTTAACCAATGGCCAGTTTGTACTATTGGAGTTAAAAAATGAAGGTGCAGATATGATGTTGTAGAACTATGGGCCTGCAGTAACAGGCCCATAAAACACCACAGAACTACTGGAAACCCTCATCATACTAACCCCCACTATATGAATGTGGTATGTACATACCTCACTGAAGGCTGTCAATGAAATATTAGCACCGTTTCACACACGTTTGAGCAATAGATGTGTTGACTTGATATTTAGTGGGAAAATAAAGTAGATAAAATGCCTTGGTAAATAATTACTCCTCTCGCAATTACGTCGCGTGTCTCTGTATATCTCATTCGTGGAGTAACAGAGCAGCAGGACAATGGATACAATGTGAGCGATGCGGTTTTATTGTAGTCATGTTCTAATTACAGGTATCTGTGCGTATTGTGACTGTGCATTGCAGGATTACATAAGCAATGACATCGTGCAAAGCACAGCTTGGAATATTAGTGAAGGCAAAGGCATATCCCATAAATATGCTAAATTTCTCTTGATATACAAATTCATTTGTCAAGGCGCTCTTCCCCCTCCAACCCAGCTTAAATATACGCTGCCAAGCATGGTGGTGCCCATTCAGACGCTGTCTTCCCGACAAACCTGTTCTTCACCTGAGGACGGCTGCTTGCGTTGTGGCCGAAACGTCGTGAGAATGATTATGTTTTATTTTTATTATTTTTTTATTTCCATTCTACGTGACTTTACCGAAAGAACCAAGAAGAAGGCAAAGGCTCCCTGCTGCACTTGCCTCCACTCGGGAGAGCTCTCGAGAGCTCAGGAGGGTACTTTGGTCTACTCTTCTTCGCTGGCCAAACATCTTGGAAGAGGTGAGAGTGCCCACACTTTACCCCACCATACACACTCCGATAATCAACCAACTTTAGTCTAGCGATATATATAGTGCTGGGTTGACAGGCAGAAGGGATTTGAGAATCTTGCCCATTCAAATGTCGTGCTGGGAGATTGAACCGGTGGATTGTAAGTCCTCTGACTAACCATAACACCACGGTGGCATGTATTGAACTCCTTTTGCACCGTACGTAGCGAACCATGCTCATCGGAGATGCGGGGAAGGATAACCAAATAAACACAGCAGCGTCACCAAAATTAACACCCATGGGCTGATTTATTTTTTGTGCAGAGATACAAAACAGGTTGATTTATTGTGTCACCTAAAATGCATTGTCATGCAATTTCACTCCTATGATCAGATTAGCAAAGGCAGATACTGGTAATCCTGTATACAGTAATCACTCTCTGTAGTATGTAATAAGGTTATTGTTACTTTACATGTAATGGTTAACTTACATTTTTAGAAAATATATGATTATTTTTTTTCCAGGAAGAAATTATTCCAACAACTTTGATTAATGTAAGTACAGCGCCAGAGAGTGCAAACAGTTTGTGTTACACGACTGCTGTGAGTATAGGTCACGCTGCTCTCTTCATGGGTTCAAAGTCAAGTCTGTGCCGGCATGCCCAAACGAGTGTTGGGAGCCATTCATCTCCACTGGTGGTCATGCTGCCAGTGGTGGAACTTCCACATTCACATGGCAGAGGCTATAACGTAACGACTATTGCCTTTTTTGACCGCAGATAAGGAAGATGGGCTGAGTTGAGCCTCAACTGAGATTTCATCTCGCAACCTTACGGTATCATGAGTCAAGAACTCTTCACGACAGTGCCCCTCAGACATATGCGTACACGTTGTGTGCATGTGTATGAATAAGCGTACACTGCAAGCACTTCTTTCAAGCGTGCGCACACATCTGAAATCCAAGCAGATGGGACGGTGGTGACTCAACGGCAGCATATCGGCGCAGGCTGTGGCATTAATTTTGATCATACTTTAATAATAATGCTGCTTGAAAGTGTTTAGTCAAGATAAGCACTTGAGATAGAACGTCTAAATTTCTCATATGCCTACAGTGTAATTACTGTAGACATTACGAGCATCACTGGCAGCAGGGTATTAATTTCACACATGCCTAGGCAACAGCAGGAGACACACTCCAAGCCTGCCAGCAAGCCAGACTGTTTTGCAGTGATGATAAATAGACCAATCCACTGGCCTTCCAGCGGCATGACCACAAACCAAAATAGAGAAATCTGGCACCCAAGATATTGAGAGAATATCTGTTTTGTTAGGGGGATTTGACTGTACACAGAAAATAAACGTGTGCTTATGGGAACAGGTTGGGGCACACCATCAATTTTTTCAAATGTAAAAAGCGAGACGTGTTGACGGGACCAGTGAGGCCTTGACCGTCATCAGCCTGACATTTCCCCATCGTTGTGAAATGAGTAATCAGGTGCAGAACCACTTAGGAGAGAGGGAGATGGATAGGTCTGTGTGCCATGCACCTCGGTGTGCAGTCCTACCCAAGGCTCCTCGGCATTCTCAAAAACGAAATGGTTGTGATGAAAAAATGTGCACCTGGAAACCCGCAAATGCACATGCAAAGGGGGGCACACGTTAGATGTACGCACTGGCACCCACAAGCACATGTTTTTACACACGTGTGTTACATGTGCTGGTATGAGCCATGATGTATAATCTGTTTAACTGAAAATTCATTTTTTTTTATCAGCACGAGACTAAAAGAACATCAAAGAAATATGAAATACTCCCAAATACAACTGTCAGCCGTAGCAGAACATGCGTGCCAACAAGGACACTCAATTGATTTTGATAATGTTGAAGTTCTGTGCAAAACTAGCTACTACTGGCCAAGATTAATTAGAGAATCTATCGAAATTGAAATAAAAATTATTTCAACCGTTCGGATAGCTACCGACTTAGTGCTGTGTGGAATGGGCAGGAAGAACAAGATCCAAGGACTCGCACATGCATAATGCACGTTGTCTCATCAAAAAGGGTGATCACCACATCTACGCCTCTATATAAGGAACGAAACAGGTGGACTTCTCCACAAATCTTAATGTCGCCTGATGAAGCTAGTTGTAATTACTGGCGAAACCTCGTACTCAGATTGTAAATGTTGTGGCTTGGCTCTCCAACACATCGGTGTGCTGTACTAGTGATGAATTGGCACGTTCTGTTTACGTGACAACCCTTACTAGTTGGTGGTGATGGGTTTTAACGACGCATTTATATATTTACCTGATCTAACCCAAACCCCCCCCCCCTCAATTATGGATGATATTTTCGCAAAAGCCTCCTACGTGTTAAATTATTTTAATATTTGTTTGCATCGTTCTCCGGTGGTGCCATTGAGAGTGTGCTGTGCATTTGAAATGTTTATTAAAATAATGCTTTTGTCGGGGCGGTCATTTAAAAAAGTATTTTATTACCAATCATCTTCTAAAACTATACTAATATGGACATTGTTATTGGCAAGCTGTGGTAAGTATTTTCGTAATTGGTTTCGGGATTTTGTGGTTTTCATTAAAACATGTCAAATGTTCTCATACAGACATCATTCTAGGGCATAGTAAAACGTGAGGGATGCTGCCGAGGTGCAGAAGTCAGCACACTGGACTTGCAATCCAGAGTTCGCCAGTTCGATTCAGTATTCTGGTTGTAACCAGCCCCACCCTCGTGTCGCTATCTTTAACCCGATCGATTTGGGAAAGCACCGGCCAGTTTACCATTAAAAGATGTTGAGGTTGCGGTGTGGTTAAGCTCCCAATTTCGCCTGTGAATGCTTTGCTTATGCCAGTAATCATGGCCATAGACACTGCCGACAAACTGCCACGTGGCACACCACACGATCCAATCCTCTTTGCACTTTGCAGCTTCTTCAGAATTTGCCAATTATCATGAGCTCCGTCACTAATACAATATTAACTTCTTGGGCGAAGCTCGGCTCGTACGTGGGAAGTCGTAAAGCAGCGTCGTCAAAAACCGTCGCCTCCAGTGAGTCCTCAACCGGTAGGATCATCCACAACTGTTCCACAATGCAGCAATTGAAACACTCGGCACGTTTATTGAATTGCCATGCCTCTTGTCTACGCAGCAGCGTAAGTAGGTACACCAGTGAGTCAATAGGTAAGGTGGTGGAGTAAATTGCCAGTAATCCCACCTCTTATCAAGATGGCTGACCAGCGTGGAAGAGTAGGCCAAAGTACTCTCTAAAGAGGCTTTCTTGAGTTTCCTCTGGTGGAGGCCCGTTCACCAGCAGTGGTCTGAGCAAGTAATTGTAGGTTGCACCTAGAACTAATTCGCCTCTTAACTCCCTGAAAAACACCCACAAAGTCTGTTTCTATGCATGCAGTTCTCAGTGACAGGGCCAGGCAGTTCTGTGTTGAGAGTCAGCCGTGCGGCTGACCCATAAAGAGGGCACAGACCTTTAGGAAACACCGAGTCTTATGCTGGGGGGGGGGTAAGATGTTTCGACGGGAAGCTGTGAACTTTCTCCACCCGTATCTCTCCATCTCTCGCACTGGACTTTGCTCAAAGGATGCTCCTCAAAAGACGGCATTCTTCACGAGCTGTTTTGTTAGGCAATCCGCAAGGTTGACTTGAACACAAAAGATAAGAACAATTTTAAACAAACCTGATTCCATAAATAAAATTGCTTTAGATTTTTAGGTGCAGTGATGTAAAAAATTAATTCCAGTGCCAAACCACTCCACAGGTAAAGCATCACTCAGAACAATAATGAGCTCCTTCACAGCATTGTGAAGACATCAGCCAGCAACCCACCCATGTCCCCAATTTTTTATAAAGCTTAAGACCTACAAAGCAAGCCTGATTGCCTTGCATCCACCAAGCATACACGCTTGTCAATTGTGTGCTTCCCTGCTCGAAGGAAATGGACACCTTCATTGGCAGTCCTGAGCCAGCAATGGGAAGTTTCAAATTCTCAGGGTAAGGGCCACAATCTTCATGGGATTAGTGGATTTCCACCAAAGTGGTTGCTGATTTATTGACCGCAGATGGATGATGAGTCTCGTTCGTTTTGTTCCTCTTTGTCATTTTGCCACTGGGGTCTTTAATATATTTATTTTCATTCATGGTGCCTTGAGACGTTATGTGAAAGGTACTTCATTATCTATTACCCTCAAGTACGATTTGAAATCTCGACGTTATGATTGTGGGTCAGGCGCTTTGCCCCAGTGCCACCCAGACAGACAATACTGGATTCATGGAAGGGCTCCAAAAAGGTCGCCGGATAATATGAATAACGTAGAATAAACTCGTGGACTTCAATAGTCCACGAGTATTCCGTTAGGATTACTGTTACTCCGTTTTTTTACGTTTAATCTGATTACTATTACTGAGCAAATATCCGGTGATTACATCCGGTAAAATGTGAAGAGGTATTGAGCCATCATTTATGAACGTGCACTGACGAGTGTGATGAAGTAGAGTCGGTGAACCTCCATGGCCAACAGTGTGGAGGTGCGTCCATCCTGTAGTGGATTGATGAAGGGCTGAAAATCTGCCATGATGTTAACTTGATTGATCCCTGCCATAATATAGAGCCTTTTTGGGTTAGAACGCGTACATTTTAATCTGTCGTTCAACTCTCCTAAAATGGGACCGTAATCTTTTTCACACGCAATCCTGAGCAACCGATGCAAATGTTACATTCCAACCAATAGTGGGGGCAATCTCTCCTTCGGACATTTGTTACTCCAAATAAATAATGGGGTGGGTCAACTCCTGATTGGCATTTGAACTTTTGACATTTATCATCTGCAAGACAAAGAACTCTGACCATAATTATACATGATACTTGTGTAGAAGAGCGTGCAGAACCTTGGGGGTCTGATGATCCAGAGCTCTCATTCTCTTTCCATATCTCAAATTTTCAAGACTTAATATCTCTTAAGCGATATCTCTTGCATCTATAATCCCCTTAATCTAGCTGCTGCTGAGAACCTCAGTCCATGCTTCCGTCACATCCTGAGTCATCTACTGCAACTCTATCCTCTGTGGCCTCCACAAATGCTTCTCCTCCACACTCCAGATGATCCAAATGCCACCGGCAGACCACTCAGCCACACTCGTAAATGTGACCACCTCACCCCGATGCTTCGATCTCTCCACTTGCTACCAGTCCAGTCCGGCACCAACTTCAAGGTTCCCTCGTTGACTTCAAGATCTTCCACGGACTCGCCTCTGCCCACCTCTCCTTTCGAGTCTCACTCTACTAAACGCACTGTACACTCTTATCAACCGAGGCCTGCTGTCAAGGCCCCAAATGAACCTTCGTTTTCTACACGGCTGCCCCCAAAGTGTCAAACTTCCTTCCTCCAGCCGCCCATGTTGTCGACGCCCTGCCCCACGTGGCAGCCCAAACACAAGGCCTTCTACTTCTCCTCTGCCTGCGACTGTCTCCTTCCCTCTATCAATCATAATTAAACAGTCCTTTCAACCATGAAAATAAAAAAATGGTATTGTCCGGTGAGATTGTATACAGTTTACGTAACAGCAACTCATGAAGGTTTTGTGTTGATTGTGCAAAGTCGTTCGTACCCGGTGGAAGAGTGCTTGGTTTGGTGACATTACCAGCATAGGTCACGATGACCTTTTGATCTTCAAGAGGCAAGGTGATAACCCCAATTCCGAGGCCACAGCATTGGCGAGAGAAAGTGCAGGAATAAACAGACGAGCGTCGCATCACACACACTGCATCACTCGTATGTGAAGGCGCAATCGGTACATCTGCATGTCTGCACGTGCAACCCTGCCAGAAGACACCACGCCGAGCGAGAACTCCTGGCCGCAATCGCGACTCGCATTACAAACGCAGAGCGACCTCACACGGAAGAGGGCTTCTCACTCACACGCCCGCCTCTCCACACTTGATTGACGGAAAGTTACACAAACAGAAGAAAACAAAAACTGATAGCTAAATATGCACAGCATCCACGCTATAAATTGTGCATAACGAGCATTTGGTCTGTTTAAACTCATAGCCGCAGCACATTCCTCGATTTCTGTGTTTGTGGGGCCGATGTTACAAGTTCAATGCCATGGATTTAAAGAGGTCTCGGTAAACAAAAAAAATCTTCTATGTAGTAATCATAAAGTTGTGGTTTTAGTTTTAGGCCACATACAAGCACTGCCTGAGGGAGAGGAAAGATATAACTTCGAGTCCAAATTACTTAGCCAAAGTTTGACATGAGCTTGTTTTTTTTGGTGGTTCCACGCATATGATGATGTTAATAGTGTGTCTAGATTGTGTCACCGTTCTATAGGTTTTGGCAAATGCATAATGGAATTTACTGTGCATTACTGAGAAATAACAATATGGAAACTCAGCGGAGTGAATGCCTTTTAGAAAGCTTTCTTGCACGTGAGCCCTTAGGCCTTCCAGACTAATCTTTTCCAACAATGTATTTAAGTCGACCAAATGTGGGTCGGTTTAGATCGTCAGAGTTTCATCGGCAAAGTGGCGGGTTTCTTATCCGAGTTAAAACTTAATATGCTTAGAGCCAAAACTTTTCAATTGAATTGTGTTGCATTCCAAAGGCGAGAATAAAAGTGTATTTGATGCGTATGTTTTACACATATAAAGTGGCTGCTACAATATAAAAGTGTAACTTACACCAGTGGCTCAGGGCCAACAACACTGCCCAATTCTTGTTTGAGCATGGGAGACACTTTGAAGTTGAGAGTGGTGAAATATATCAAAATAATAATGACACGTGTTTCTCCAAGGAAAACAATTATATTGCCCTTGTTATCATTGCAAGTTAATTGCGTGTCATACCAGCACTCGTCCTAGGTCATTCCAGTGCCAATGGGTCCCTGCGATTGTGTTTTTTTTATTATTATACCAGACCTATGATGGAATTAGTGTGTCAAACCTTTGTTGGGGTGAAGTCACTTTTTGAACAGTGCTGCCCCCTTACAGCTTGGCTGGTCCCAGAGAAAATGGTGTCAGTAAACTCGCTCAGCCACTTGCCAGTTTTAAAGCTACATTAAGATTGAACCTTAACTAAGCGTAAGCCTCACCTAATCTGTGTTTACTTTAAAGGATTGTCTAAAACGTACAAAAATACAATGTTACCTCGCCGACTCTCCAGCCCAGTGAAATTGTTTTTTCTCCCTGGGGTCAACAACTCTTATGTAGGGTGCAATGAGCAGAAGGGCGTGGGCGTATGAAAAAAACGGAGCAGGGGAGATCAAGCTGGGGTTCATGGGAATGTGACTTGGCCTGGGATTAGGCTCAGCATTGCTCTTACAAAATAAAACTGCTCATGGAAATGTGGGTTTTGTTCAAGCGTTTACCCTGTTTTAAATTGTGTAATAAATCCACTATTATCGGGTAAGGAGCAATTGTGAACACAACATTTGACATTGTGTCCACAACTAGCCGTTGTGATATTCTTGGTTCTTTCGGTAAAGACACGTAGAAGGGAAATAATAAAATAATAAAAATAAAACATAATAAAATAATATAATATCAGAAGATGAATCCCTGCAGTCACGAAAGCTTTAAATCGAAATTTAGCCGTTGTGATTTTAATTCTGCACCAGAGGTGGTTCCTTGGTTCTTGAGCCAGTGCTGTCACTCCAAAAATATGCATCTCTAGGGGCTTATGGGATGCGTGACCATTTGGCTCACCACTGACACTTGCCGTAAGAATCCGGGATCAAACTTCATCCCACCTGTTACTGAATTACAACAAAGCTTACATCACTTCTCCCCGCTTGTGGTTAAAGTGCAGGTAACAACTTGAATCGAACGCCGATTACAGAGAAGTCGGTCTGCTCGTCATAGCTCCGAGAAGTGCA